TCAGCAGGGAGTAGATATGTAACCATGAGGTTTAGATGATGAATACAGGTCCTAATTTGTAAATCAGTGAACACTCAAAGCAATAATCATAGTAAAAACTATGAGAAATATGCAGGTTCAGTCACCCTGAACATCACAAAGAGGACTGGCTAAATTCATCAGAAACTGGTCCCTGTGTACAGCTTTCAGCAACCTCTCATACTAAACAGCAGACCACGTTGATGTCAGACCTAAAAATGCACAAACACACACAGACATTCACATAAATGCTTCCTTCTCACAAATGGAAGTCGCATTCATAATAAATATTGGGATTTTGGGAGGTTTTGTACCTACCTTCAGCACTACTGTGTTACCTTTTAGGGCTGGGTGAATTCAGCAGAAAATACTGTGGCAATATTTTGAAGGACCGTGCTGTGTTTTGAAAAAGCATTTCTTCATCAAAAATGCATTAAAACCCACTGAAATCTGAGGTACATATCAATATTACAGAAGGCACTTGAGGTTTACTTTCCTTAGATTGATCTCACTCCTGTGTAAAGTCTGCCTCGGTAAATGCCAGCTGTTTGGTTTTGTTGTTTTCTTTGAAATTGCTGTGCCCACACTGAAAAAATCTGCTAAAGAATATCACAGTAAAAGCAACACTCTTCTGTAGGAGCTGGTCTATTTCCTAGCATGTAGGGAAAAAAAAAATCAAAGCTTAACATTACTCTTCCATGTTCAAAGACATGCCTTTAATCAATAAATTTATCTGATTCACTGCTATTTTGGCACCGCTGAAACAGTAGAGGTGTTGCACGTTCTTGTATATGACTTGAATTTGTTCCTAAGCATAAATAGGAATAAGCAGAGCATCTGCAGCTGCTCTGGATGCACTGAAATGACAAGGACTATCAAACCTCATGCTTCAGGGTACATAATCTGATAACCAGCTGAGGTCAGGGACAAATATCCCGCACTGGTATAATATTGACTAATTTGATTTATTGTAAGCCTTTTATGTCTTTCTCTAAAAAACCTTACATTAGCCACTAGATGGACCAATGGCCTGTTCTGGCATGGCAATTCCTGCATATCTAATCCACAAAAACAGTTGGCAATGGGTGCTGCTCCTGTAATCACTGAATCACCAGCACACCAGCTGGAAGGGACTCAGCCTGCCTCACCTCAGTGGCATGGAGAACTCCAGATGAGGACTTAGTCAGGAGGTGGGAAAGAAGAGGAGGCTTTTTACCATGGTGGGCACATTTATGGAGTACCTGATTTACAGACATCTGATATAGCTGATGTACAGCATCTGAAGTATGCATCACCTGACCTGGAATCCAGACAAGGGCAATAAAATTAGAGTAGAATAGAATAGAATAGAATAGAATAGAATAGAACAGAATTACGCAGCGTGGCATAGCAGAACAGAGCAGAGCATAGCATAGCATAGCACTGAACACATCTGAAGGTTGTACACAGGAACAAGAATCCTAGAACTGGAGGTGAGCCAGTGCTTGTCTGTGAAGCCCTAGCTAATCAGATGCCAACCTACTTCTTTACTTCCACTGCAGAGAAGGAGAACAGATGGGTGGGCTGGAATGAAATACAAAATAAAAGCAGGCGCCTATGGTCAACTTTACACAAAGGATGATAAAACCCCTCATTATATAACAGAAAGCCAAAGTACGTTAATACTTCCTTAATGGCACTTCCCACAGAAGCAAAATCTGCATCTGCTTGTTAGCCACAAGGTGCTTGGGTGATTATCAGTGAAAGGGAGCAGAAGGCTGTATGTGATGCAATTAGGAAGGCTGCTCAGAGAGCAATTTCACTGCTGAGATGAGGTCCATGCTATCAGAAATAGAGATTCTCCCAGACTGTAAAAATTAGAAGACAGAGTGAGAGGTTTCTGTTATCCAGTTAGCTGAGTCATAGGTCAAGGTATATTTTCCATCCAAGGCCATTCTTTCTAATATGTCACACTTCAATAACACTTGAGACTGAAAATGGAGCAATCTTTTTTGTCTGGCTGCTTTCCAGGGTGGCTGGAGACTTCTGGGCTGCACACTGACAATGCTTTACTCAGCTAAATGCAACTGTACTCTCTGTCCTCGGGAGAAAAGCAGGTTACAAAACAGCATCCTCACGTCCCTTTATGTGAGAAATACTCTGCTCAAAAAGGAAAAAAAATAGTGCACTTGGTTTCCCTTTACATTTATCATCACCAGTGAATGTATCAGTTGGAATGAGTTTCCAGCTTCTCAAAGAAGCTCTCAGTAGATAAGCTTATCTGTCATGAATCACAAACACAGGCTGCCCCACAACCTACAAAATACACATTGCCATAGCTGTCTCTAAGGAACAGCCCTGTAGACAGTTGTCTTGCCATTGCAGTGCACTGCAATATTCAGGTAACTGAATAAGTAGGTCCCAGGAGGTTGGAGTTTTTCTAAAACTTTGTGTTTTCCTCATTTGAGCTATTTGCTCATATTTGGAAAAGTTTTGAGGAAATTCTTCTAGAAAATGGGACTCTGGTCTTATTTAGACTAAAATCTATTTCTTATCTGCTGCAAGATGGTCAGCAGGTGAGGGTGGCTCACAGGCAGCTCACAGGCAGCTCAGACCTCATTCTGAGCTGAGCACACTGCATGTAAATATCTCCATCCTGTGATGGTGCAGGGCTGCTGCTTCTGCATCTCTCACGATCAAGAAAATGAGCCAGAAAATCCAGCATCTCTGTCTCTTATCTGCAAAACCCCAATGTGTCGAAAAGCAAATGGAACATCTATCTCTCTCTTCCTGTTGACTGTTCAGGAGATGTGTGTGGTGATCTGTGGCTCTTGGTCACTTGGGAGAATTTCGGTATTCCAACCATAGGAAGGTAAAGCATCCTCAATACACTGGCTGGGGTAAACTGGCCTTTGTATACCTTGGACTCAGATCCTAAGCAATGTTTTTTGATTTTTTGCTGGCATAGGCTGTGAACATCAGAGGAGAGTCAACAGAAAACGACTTGGCCTTTCACTCACAACACAATTTTTGAAACTGCCCTTGCAATCTGCTTACCTTCAGGTCAGCCTCAAGACACACCCGAGCACTCAGGACCTCTGGGCAATGCCAGCAACATGCTGTGGACAGAAGGGACAGCTGCAGCACTCATCCCCAGGCAGATCTGTGAGGGTGGACTCTGAAGCACCTACAGTGGTTGTGACCATCAGCAGATGTGAAAGGGCCACACAGCAGGTCTCCAGCACTGCAGGGGATTCCCTGACCCCTGGCCTAGGGCAAAGGAGGTGACACAGAGACAGTAGCAGGCATGTGGGTAATGTTGACAGGGATGAGTAATTACTGACTCACCACTTTTCATTGTTTTTCAGTTTCGTTTTACCAGGGTGTTTGACTGCCAGGTGGAGAGCATGGGAGATTCAAATCCCACTTTTCTGCATGGGGACTGGGAACGATGGTGCTGGCATATTTAGTTTCACTCCTGAAGTCCTCTACCCAAACTGAAAGGGACCACCAAGAGAGAACCAGGGTTCACAATTTCCAAGGTGTCAAAGCTGACACTACTGCATTTCACCCCATTTCTGATTGAAGGGGGGATTCTGTTTCAAAAAAACCTTTGTTCTCATGCACAAGAAAGTGACATTTGAGGCTTTCTAAAAATAAATATATAGTTACAATGAATCTGGTACAATTAGTGTCTTAGCTCTGGAGACCACATAGAAGAGGGGGACGAAAGGAGAGGACAATAAATTTATAATCTGGCTTTTAGCAAAGTGTAAATTTACCACCCAGACTCGCACCCATTACACCACAGACAGGAAACCAGCTGGTGGAGGGTGCAGTGAGTTTGTTGTTCCTCCTTGCACAATGACTATGTGTGTTATTGATTTCACAGGCCTAACCATGACTGGTATATTTTTTAGATCTTGCCTGTTGCCTTTTTATGTTTTCAGATCAGCTATGCATTTCATCAGCCTCCTGCCCACCAGCAATCATAAAATACGAGCCTTTGTGGGAAAGCAGAGACTTAGAAAGAGTTTCTTATGAAACGGTGGCTGGGATTGTTCCAGACACCTCCAGCCAGCTGCTCTCCAGGCAGCAGCTTTGTGATACAAGAGACAGTAAACATCAGCTTTGGAAAGTCAGACGGTTGGACCCTTTGGCTGCAGGCCCACTGAACAAGTTCTCCTGACTACTGAGGCATGGGTCTGAAAATAAAAGGGCTCTTTAGTGCTGATATCCTTGGACGCCACTGTGCAGTATAGCTGGAATTAGTCCAGGGTATTCCTACCTGCTTTGCATCTTAGGCTATAAAACAAATCCAAACGCATCAGTGCTTTCCTGGTGCTTGATTTTCACTAAAGTATCTCCTGCTGTTAATCCTGGCCAGTCCAGCCTTGGGCAATGCAATGTCACTGGGCTGCTGCATGGCCAGTGGGAACCAGAAATAGATGCTAGAACTGGTGGAGTGACATTTTCTCTTTACCAGTGTGCAACGCAGAAACTGTACCGCTTTGCATAAATTCTACCTGCAGAAATTCTGCAGCCTGTGCTTTCCTCCTCACTGTCTGTAATATTAGCCATGTTAGAAGAAGGCAGCACTGCTGTGAAAAGCACTTTTTACAGATGAGGCAGGACCCTCTCATATTCTTGAGGGCCTTATAGTAGCACTACAGGAAAGGCATAGGTGGAGACCAGAGGGTGACCAGCTTACCCTGTATATGGGGAAAGTAAATAGGCTGGGATTCTCCAGCAGGGAAAAGAAAATTACATGGAATGTAAAATCCTGCAGCTTTCCAGATAGGTCAGAAAGTGTGTAATTGCTCACTGCAGGGGAGGAGCAGGGGAATACTGAATTAAATGATCAGGGACAACATTTCAAAGAAACTAAAAGGAACACTCTTTCACACAAAATATAATTCAGGAAGGAGAGTCACTGCCATAAATTTTTCACTGCCATAAATTCACCATCATAAACTTTTGGAATACCAAAAGTACTAACAGGTCAATAAAAGAGTGTGAACATTGGTCCTGAAAGGGTAAGGTGGAGAAAAGGTCTGGAAGTCCCTAATGCATGGATTTTATTAGAGGTTAGGTAGGTCCCCTTTCTCTGACCTCTTTCTTTTATTCTTTTTCAGTAGCTGCTACCAATAACTGTTAAAGACATGATATTGTCTTGATGGGCTTTTGATTTGACTCAGTGCAGACACTCTTAGGAGGTTTAATGGACCGGCTCCTCTTTGGAACAATTCCAATGTCTTCAATGAATAAGAAGCAGAAATGATTTCCTACATGTCTGACAATTCCTGCTTTGTTTCCATTTCAGCATTTCCTAAGGCTTAAAAGCAACTCTTAGCCTCTGAACTTTTCATTTGAGTTCCTGTCTTGGTTCTCTTAGTTATGCTCAGCATTACATTAAGACAAGCATAAGGAAAAAAATATACAGTATTGGTTTATTAAATTGTCACAACAAATAGTGCCAAATGAGGGGCTGCAATTCCCATCTGTCCTGGTGATTGGATGAGGATGTACTTCATTACTGCCACTGTGGACCTGGGCAGTTTGGAGCACTTGGCAGAGGGGGCAGATCCCAGGAGCAGAGGTGGGAAGCCCTTGGAGCACTGGTACAAGGGCTGGGCACGGCTGAGTGACCGTGGCCAGCTGGGTCAGGCCCCAGCCCCTGAGGCTGCTCCCTCAGCCCCCAGCTGCTTCTGTAGAGGAGGGAGGGCCTGGAAGGTCAGGCCAGGTGTGTGTATAAGTGTGTACTCATATACACAACCTCCCAATTAATATCATGGTTCTGTTTCGGTACATTACAGGACACAGGCAGTGTTTCAAACCTTAAAAGTTGCAGACAAATGGTATAGCTTGCTGTGGAACTAATTGATTCTGAGTTTTGGTTTAGTCATATGATGACTCCATTTTAAGATAGCACTAAAATAAATTAAACATTTATACTATTTTTTTTTTTGCTTTTTAATTTTATTTATTTGCTCTTCTTTTAATTTCAGGGCTTCAGAATATATTCACCACCTCCTGGGACCCTTTTGTGGGCTGTCAGTTCTGCATTTTTTTTAGGTTACAAATGAGTTTGCTCTGCAGGTTTGTAGCTTAAACCAGAACTGCTACTGGGAAATGCAAATGCATGAAATGAGAGACCCTCCAGGCACCACATGAATTCATAGCACAGATTGCCAGTGCCACCTAGAAAACAGAATGAGATCAAACACTAATTCATCCATGTCTGCAGGATGCTCTAGAATCCAGCATGGCTAAAATTGCACACATCCTTTTGAAAATTTGAGTTACAGTTCTCCTAAACAGAAGGATACAGACTGGCCATCTCAAGGCATTATGAGACTTGTAAATATGCTTGCATATATTTACTGCATATATGTGTTTCTGTAGGCAGATTTTGTTCTTAATGTAAATTGCTTTAAAATTTTCTCAGCCTACATTTATTAACAGATATTCCTGTGCAATGCAATTCTGTCTGTGAGACCCATTGGTGACCTTCCCTGGCAAACCAAGATGCAATCAGTGTGGTGAAATCTGTACACTTTTCTACGATCCCAGTAAGTAGATTTATGATTTAATAATCAGGAAAAAATCAGATAAAGAAAACCCTCTGGCTCTGTCAACCTGCTAAGAGCACCTGATTGCTCCAGAGCTCAGTGAGAAGTCACAGTTTAATACACTCCACCTGGTGCTGCCTCACCAATGCTGCTTTGTACCTCTCTATTGCCCAGGAAGTCTGAGGTTGGTTTTATTGTTCTGAGCCTTCTGATTATGCTCAAGCTAAAATGAGGGATTGCACATTTCAATTTGTGGTGACCCTGTCTTGTGAAAGGGCGTTGCTATGAGCAAAAATAGAAATGAGGCTTGTGACCCTGTGTTTTAAATCACTTATTGTCACTACAGTGTAGAGTCTTGATTTTGCAGAGCTTCTCTACCTGCACACTTAAAGGTATGCTTAAGACCATTTGTTTTATCCAAATAGAGCTATGTATTTAAACCCCAATCTATGCATAGGAGCATGGCTCAATGAAGTTGTAAAGCAAAATGGGATAACTGAGGTTTCACAGCAAGCCAGAATGAATCTGTGACACAGTCGTAAACAGTATACAAATGATGACACACATCACAGCTAAAGTCATAGGAGGAAAGGAACATTTCTGGCACAAGGAAAAGATTGACACTGACAGCTAGTGGGGGGAAAATACAAAAATCAGAAATCACACCAACAACACACACAAAAGTTGAAGCTGTCACCATGCTAAGATCTCTAGAAAATAAAATAAGACACTCTCAGTCTGTCTAGCCAGCATCAGAAAATGAGGCAAAAACATGAAACCAAAGAGGAGTATAAAGTCACTCCAGCTGCTCCCAGATGCCCCAAGCAGGGAAGGGGGAGAGATTAAATCAACTGTTTTGAAAGAGAGGGAATCCAGTGCATCCAAAAAAGGAAAAAAAGTAAATTGAAGCCCACATTAGTGCTACTGAAAAATGGACAGTCTTTTTTTAAGGAGAACATGATCTGAGTACAAGTAAAATGAGTTCTCTGTTAGATTTGATTTAAGAGAAAGAAAAAAGTTCATGGACAGACCACAGGACCTAAAATCCTGATTTAATTTTAACAAACTACAGTGAATGATGCAGAGGGAACAGAGAGAGGGAGCTAAGTAGATGAGAGGTTAGTATAGATTTCAGAAAAAGTAACTTTTTCAGTAATTTTATTATACCTAACACAGCACCTGTTACTGCTTGAGCCATTTGCTTTCTCCTCTTTGTGAGCTTCATATTTATTCTAGAATGATATTAAGTTCTGTGTATACAGATGCTACAGGATCTGAAAGAATTAGGAGAAATGTGTCAGAAGTCATCATTTGTTTCCTCAGCCAAAAGTGTCCAAAGAAATGCTGGATATCCTATTTCTTCAAATGTTTGCTACCCCAGACACAGAACAGACAGCTGTGTATGAGCTTGTCCTGGCAAAGGAGTGGAGAGGGTAACCTCATCTACCCTTTCAGCCTCTGAGCTTTGATGATTCATATTTTGCAAGAGCAGCTTTGCTTATAAATAAGAGCAGGTTTAGCAAGTGAAACCGGTTAGCCTTCAAACAATTAATGCATGCTTCCTAACAGAAGGCAGAGCTTGAACCCAAAGAGCAAACTGCTCTTGCTGTGAATGCTTTCCAGAGTTTAATTTCACATGTAGGACCAGTAGCACTCACAGCAGGAAGGCGGAATGAGCCATGTGGGGATGTTGGAAACTGGGATGACAAAGCATTGCAAAAGTACTCGTAACATAAATTGCTTATCACTCTGTGCTTTGTTCTTCAAACAGAGATGATTTTGACACCGTATCCTGTTTCAAGGGAAGAGGTGAACCAGGAGAGTGCTAGACCGAAAGCTAATCCCAGCAGCATTCTTGCCATCCTGAATGGCAGCACAATTGTTTCTCACGCAATGCTGTAAGAGAAGAGAAAATTAAAAAAAAATAACAAAATTAGATTTACAAAGTGGGACTGTGTATTTGTTGCCCTGTTACTGTATGGACAGATTTGTTTCAGAAAGGAGGAAAGAGCAAAAAACATCATTCTGGCTTGAAAGAGTTCCTATCTGTTTTCAGAGTCCTTTAGACTATTTTATATCATAAAGTGTGGGGCAAAGGATGTTCACATATCCTGGTAGTTACAGAAACTAAGGAAGTCTCCATCCAGTTTATCTCCAGCTTGGTACTCCCTTATCAGTTATATCACAGCCAGCTCAACTGAGATAAAGAGAGCCTTCTTCTGAGGAAGAAAGGATTTTGCCCATTTCAGGGCAAGAGCACACATCCTCAAATCAGTTTACGCTGGCTGCCATTTTGTAGGAGCTTTTACTCCTTAGAACCACCTGCCCAAGTGACTCCACTTCACCAGCTTTGTAGGAAAAAAAAATTTATATTCTTCCCATCACATTTCTCTGGATTGGATGGTTGAAATGATGCCTTTGGAAAATAGCAGAATAGTCATGCTTAGGAAATAGGTACAAGGATCAATTCCAGTTGCTTTCTTTCCTTTTGTTTTTTTCTTTTTTTTTGGTGCATGTTCCTACCAATGGATTTTGTGATATCCTTTTTTTTTCTTGCTCTATTTTTTTCCTGTTTGTGGGTAGATGAAAATGTAGACAGCAGTATGTTTCCTAAAAAATGCCTGTTTTAAACAAGGCACTATGCTGATTCACAAATCAAAGTCCAACATTCCTCTCCTGTCCCATCTCAGCACAGATCCTGTCACAAGTGCACCATAGCATCGGATTTACTTCTTCAGGGAAAGGGAAAGTGATTTTCTTACTGATGTGATAGGTAATTCATCCTGTTGTGAATCAGTGAAATCAGAGCAATCCAATCTATACTGGCAAAGATTATCCTGCTCCTTCAATAAGGTGTTTTCCTTGTCTGCCATTGCTGCATTCTGTGAAGCAATTATGCTTGGCCAAAATCTTCCCTGATTCAGACTAAACAGCATATTGCCAAACTTTGGGAAATATGGAGGTGTCTCATTGAGGTGGAGGTCAGTCATTTAACTTTGTATAGGTGAGAATAGTCCAGTGCTTTGTTCCTCTGGCAGAGAGCAAGAGACAGTGGCAGGAGCAGTGCAAAAGCTCAAGAGCTTTTTCTTCCCCTCTAAACCCCTGTGACGGCCATCCACCCCAGGACAAAATGGGGTAGAGACATTCCTGCCATGATCCACTGACATGTAACACCAGTCTATGCTGGGATGAGTGGATTGCCTCCATGGGGGCCTGGGAACTGAGGCCGACAGAAAACCCTTGGCAAATGTGTACAAATAGACCCTGTCCTGGCCCTGAGATATACAAACAACCCAGACTTCTATGACGCTTGGCTTTTTCATTTAGTTTGAGTATTTTAAAATGGGTGCCATGAACCTGTTTTCCTTGATGCCTTTTCCACTGTGGCATGGGAGTAGTAGCCTCGTGGCATTTCCCTGTGTTTTTGCCTGTCCACAGCAAGTTCCTGAGGAACAGAGCAAAACAAGAATTTTGCCTGGCTGGCTTGGGGCTGAGCGAGTCACTTGCTTGGGAAATGTGACTGTCACATGTGGGGACTTTCTGCTTTCACAGATCACAGACAAGGAAGAAGAGCAGATCACTGGTACAGTGCTCCATGGCAGCCTGGGGAATCCAGAGATGGAGAAATAAAGGGATATGGATCTCTAATTCAGAGCAGATTGAAAAAACAATGTCGGAAAAAGGATCTGTATTTATACTCATAATACAGAACACAAGGATCACTTCATTCAGCAGCTGGAGACACAGGGAACATCCATATCCTAGATTTAGGTTTGCTTATTGTGCTTTTAATATGGGATTTAGCTTATTAACTTCTGGCATACATATGTGAGCCAAACAGATTCTGCTTCCTAAATTATAGTCAATGGAAGGAAAGAGGCACTTCCAAGCCATTGTTCACTTTATCTATTGTAAAAGACTTCTGCAGGCTGAGACAAATTGAACTTGTACTGTCTTTCACCTGCAGTAATTGTTCTCTAATCCTCACAAGGTAAAGCATATCACAAACCCATAGTGAACCTCCAATAAATACAATCTGCTAGAAGTATCCCAGTAAAGGTAATTTTTTACTTCATTAGACAGCTTCTTTCACTAAGCAGCACCTTCTAAATTATCCCCTGAACATCATTTATCCCACACCACAAATTAGCACTAAAGGAGCCTGCTGGCAGGGTCATGTGTCCATGAATGAGATTCACACTCAGATATCCTGCCCAAACCTCCCTCTGCATTGCTATCACTGTCCACAAGCACTGCAGGGGCAGTGAACTCTGCCTACCAAAGTGCCTAAATGTGCTTGTCCATCAACTTGCCACCCAATCCCACCTCAAAGTGTGACTTGTCATATATCTGAATTTCAGAAAGCTGAGAAGGCATCACAGCCCATCTCCTCCTGCTAGCACAGGATGATGAGGAGCTCCAGATGCTCCTGGGGATCACATGCACCCTAGGAGGGCTCCTTTGAAGAGGGAGCAATGGGGACCCTGCACAGTGGCTGGGCAAGCTGCCTTTCCTAGTCCAGCTGCCAGCAGATCAGAGGATCCCATGAGCAGTGATACCGACACCGGCATGGCACATCCCGGGGTGGCAGAGACACCACCACTCTGCATTGGAAATGCATGAAGCAAAGGTGGGTAGTGAGGGAGCCAGGTGGGAGCTTCATGCTAAAACACACAGGACCTGGCAGGTCTGAGGACTGCAGCTGATGGTTTCAGGGAGGGGTTGTGTTTAACAATTCTGAGCTGGAAGGACAAGTTAGTCATGCACATGGCCTAAAGCAAGGAAGGCAAAGAAATGAAAGCTGGGGAATTCCAAAGAGATGAGAGGTGCAGCTACACACACTGCAGTAAAGAAAACCCCAAACTTCATTTTGGGAAGGGCAGCTTGCTCCAGTATAAGAAGAAGCACACAACCTTGAGTGTTTGTCCAAGTGAGCATCTGTGAATGGTGTGTTTACATTCTTCCCCATATTAACATGGACATGTTTTTGTCTTCTGCTTAACCAGGTGAGCAGCTACTTACATCTGATACAGCCTGATGCAGGGGTGAGCTTGGCTGTGGCAAACAGCCTTTCCTCTGTTACTCTCAATGCTCTAGTATTTGTGCATGTGAGTATGAGGCACATTCTGTAGACTTTTGTCCTAAATGGTTAGAGATGATGGCTCACAAACAGAGCAGATTGAAATAGTACCTATTATTTATCTTCTTAGTGTATGGGGCACAGATCCATGGAAAGCTTGAAGGTTACTGGCAATCTGCTGGTCCAAACCTTTGGAAGCCACTCCTCGAGGAGTCCTCTCTAGGTGACCATTGAAGAAATTATCATTTTGCAAGAGAAAAAGCAAGACTATCACCACCCAAGTGGCCTGAAATGAGGTGAACTCAACTAAGTCACAGCAGAGCTCTGTCTGTAATCCATGCCTAGTCATGTAAGTTATTCTTAACTTCCATTACATATGTACAAACAAGGAGGTGGCACTATCACCTGTGGTACTCTTCTGGGTGCCTTCTCTTACCCATAACTGCATACAAGACTGTCTCAGACCAAGAAATTGCTGATTGTGCCTTGGAGTAACTGAGGCACACCCTGACACAAGGCAGTAAATACTGGGCAGCTCATACACAATAACATGTTGTTTAGAAAAAACTTGTCAGCCTACATCACTACCTAGTAGCAAAGTTTTGGTTTCTACATGCTAGGTAGACAAGAAGAGATGGAGAATTTGGGCTGGTTCTGTAGTAAAGATCTGTCCTACTCATGCAGAAACACTATCCAAATCACAGAGGATCAGGAAAATCAACTACAGGCTCCCTGAATTTCTATATGAAGCAATCACAGTTACACAACTCATAATTGAGTTTACTGCACTTCACTCTGTGTTCTTTATTACAGTGTTGACTAATGAAGTCTTACTTTAGAATAAAACTCTGCTTCTGGTAACATTGTGGTGTTAATATAATTATTCATTGTCTGTGTGTTGTGCTTGTGCCAGTGCTGAAGAGCAGATGTTACGAGTGAAATCTGAAGAGTTTATTATAACCAAAAATAATTAGCTTCCTGTTCTGTAGGAACAAGTCTCTTGTCCACCAGACTAATTAGAACTCCAGTCAGTCTTGTGTCATGTTGCAACTAAATCTCTGAAATGTTATTTTTTTAAGGTTCAAAGACTTGACAGCGAGGTAACTCATCTGGATATCATATGAAAAGGCTGACTACTTTCATTTATCTCTGTATCACCTTATTCACTGAAGTGTCATTATACAGCTAAGAGACTTCTATAATTATCTTTGTCCTTGTTTCTGTTATATAATTATAACAAAATTCATTTTTATTTCTGTGGGGTCTACAAGTTGCTGTGTGCATAGGCAAAAAAAAATAAATTCTAAAATCCAGGGAAACTCAAAGGTGAAGTCAAAAGTAACAAAAGCAGATAGAGTCCACTTTGGCAAAGATGTTAATCAATTCTAGAGCCATCAAGTAGACCAATGAGAATGATCAAACATCTGTGAAGGGACGGGGTAACCTTTTTCAAGCACATGAAAGATTGCTCCAAACAAAGGAATTAATCTTCCCTCCAGTATTTGTGTTAGATAGGATAGGAGTTAACCTGCAGCAATGAAGATTTCACTGAAACATGAGGAAAAAGCTCTCTAATTCCAAGGACAGTGAAACAGTGCAATAGACTCTAAAAAGAGTGCAGACAATAATTTCTTCAAGGACGTTAGACATGTGCCATCACTATGCATTCTGCTGTGGGATAAGATTAGATGACCCTAGGAGATTCCTTCTGCTTTGTGACTGTATGGGATAGCTGGGCAGGCTGTCAAGGCAGAGAAGCAGGCATAGCCTGAGCTAGGTGAGGGTGAGAACAACAGCAGAGCTGTCTGGGGTCACTAGGACAGGCACTGGAAGGAAGTTTAGTCATGGCATGTCAGGAGAGGAGCTGCTTTAGTACCAAATGTGGGACTTGTGGGGCCTAAAACACAGTTTTAAAGAATTGATGTAAAAGAATTTGAGTCCACATGCAATGTTCGAAAAGCATATCTGACTATGGTGCCATGCAAACACAAAAAAAGGAAGATAGTCACTGCCAGAGAAGGGTCCACATACAAATTTGACATCACCAGCATGTTGGGAGCCAATCAGCTTCTAACAAAGCTTTATCTGCAAAGCACAATGATTAGTAGATAATGGTGACTTATTTTTCCAAGCAGGTTCCTGCTCACCACAGTTCACAAGTAAAAATTCAGCCTAAAATCCTGAGGGCAGGATCCATCACTGCAAGATGTGCTGTACTGTGTGTGAAGGAGGGGAGTGGGGTCAGGTAACCAGATATTTTGAGGTGTAGTCTTCTCTCCAGAGAGCTGCAGGTGTTAGACTGAGATATCACCATATCTTTTACTATATCTGCTCATAAAGGCAGGCCAAAAGTGCTGGGATCAGTTCATATGAATCTCTCCTCAGGTCTCTGTTGTGCAACACTGGTTTCTGTTCCTCTACTTGCAATAATAAGCTGCAACTGCTGCTTCAGGGATTCTACAAAGGATGCAGCTTATTTAATATCCATTTAGAAATGACAAAGCTTTCTTTTTTGGGCCTTTCATGTAGTAGTCCACCCACATGCAGGCGGTGCACACAAATGACGTATCACCCGGGGGCCGAGACTTGCTGCAGAAATTGATAGTAAGCTGTTGTTATTCTAATTATGTGTCTGTCTTCCTTAATTAAAGCTATGCCACAGGTCATTTACCCTGGTGCAGAGTCCATGAACATTAATCCTGGCAGTGTTTTGGAATCAGAGAGTTCTCATTAGCATAGGATTGGCTGTGAGGGAAATATAATCATCTGAAACCCTTTACAAAGGAATGTAAATTAGCATCCATGCCTCCCATGTACTATTGACATAGTGAATTATTTTACTGGCTAGAAATGAAAATGAGCACGGAGCAACGGCTCTCATAACTGCAGCTCAGGCTGCACTGTGTTTGCAGTGGGGATTTGTGTGTTTGTGTGTGTTTCTGCAGCCAGAAACTCCAATTATCTTTTCTGATGGCTCACCAGCTCTTGAAGCTCACACTCCTCCCCATGCAAAGCATTGCAATCTGTTTACACTGAAGTAATAACTGAGAATATAAAATAGACTTTAGAATGCCTTATTAATCTTGGTGTTCTTCACTCAGAAGCATGGAGCCCCATATTAGGAGTGGATTTAGGTTTGGGAGGGACTTCTGAACCATGTTGTAATAACAGGAATAATTCTTCAACTTGTCTAATCAAGCAATGTTCGCACTTTTTTTGGTCACAAATCACGCTACAAGACAGATCTTTAGTTTTGCAAAGATTGAAACAGGACCCAGGTAAAGAGAGAAAAAAAAAAGGGCTGCTTTTTGTCAAGCACTGATTCCACAGATCAGCAAGAACATCACCCACAGCTAATTAAAAAACATCCCTCCAAGGAGACAAGAAAACAGTCATTGCCCATGCTAGAGCTGAAGAGAGGGACGTCACACCCAGGGAGAGAAGCCAGAAGTTCTGACTGCTGGTCCCCTACTCCATCTATCCCACACAATCCCTTTTGCATTCTGTGATTATTGCATGGTAGAAATAATAGATGCACTTCTACAATAGGAATTGTTCTTCTACAGAGTAAAGTTCTTTACTTGGAATAATTACTTCCCTGGCACACTTCCCATCCTGCTCAAAAGCCAAGCAATGGCTATGGCTAACAGCCAACTATGGCCAACAGTACTGTAGCTACAATTTTGGAAATTCATTTTCAAAACAAAGCATTATGCACCTGATAGTAAAGTATAGTCAGGGCACTGAGCTGTGATATAAAGCAATATAATCTTTCACTGGCATGTGTTAAAATGCTGTATTATCCTATGTGGATAGTAGGACAATACAGCATATCCTACAGGATAGTCTCAGAGTAGTTCTTACAGTGAAAAAAAGTTAGGAAGTGGCAGGATAAGTGCCATTTTCCTCAAAGTTAAAGAAGCCAGTTCTAAGGTGTGACATTTCCGGCCATAGCTACCGGAAGGAAAAAACCACCCTAAAAATAGGAAATAGTGCATTAAAAATAAGCAAAAATACCTACTGATCTTAAGGGTTGCATTTAGACAGTGGTAAAGCAGTCTGGAGTAAAACAATTCCATTTCTCTTTAATTTATCCTATGATATTGATGCAATTACCAGTAGCACAGTATCCAGGTAGTTTACAACACAGAGGTGCTATTACCAACATCAGAAGTTAATAGGTGAAGAAATTAAAGTCCAAATTCTCAAAGCTATTAAAGTTTACGGATAAGATATCTTGACAAAGTGACTTGCCCTATGGTCCGTCGGGAAATCAAGTTCAGGTTTCTCAGTCCCTCAGCAGCACTCACATAACTGGCTCAAGGTTTGCTTTCTGTGGGATGGTTTTGCTTTTGTTACAATATAAAGTAATTTTAACCAGGACCATATGGTGTTTTGAGTCCTATTCTGTGAATTTAAGAACTGTTCAACCTCACTTGTACTTGGAGGAAAGTAGCATGTATTTTTTTGAATGTTCAAAGTAGTCTTGTGTGTGTATGTGTTTGTTAACAACTCACAACAGATTGATTTTCCCAGGCATATCTCTGTTTTTAGCAGCCATTTGCTCCTGGTATCCAGTCATCATCACACGGTAATTTGAAGCCAGCCTACTGTCATCAGAATTATTTGATCTTCAGGGTGAGAGGACAGTGATGGTTGTGGGCACTTTGACAGAGAACCTGAATGTCACAACAGAAAGTGGGGAGCTGACAAAGAGGCTCCTTACTCAAACAGAGGTTCAATGTTCTGAGACATTTAATTTTTTCTCTGTGTTTTGCTAAGGGTAAAAAAAAAAGTAGGAACATCAGTTAACAAAAATGGAGACAGGGCCATAGAGCAGTTTTGGGAAGGGAAAATTCAAACAATCTCAACTACTGTCTTCAATCAAACTTTTGCTCCTGATAGATATCTAAAATGTTTGGAGTGGGTAGGCAGCACTTTCTGGTTTTATTCTATGGCATTAATGAATGTGGCAAAGTTGGGGCAGCAGAACCTTTGACAAAGGTGATCACCTAAATCAATCAGGCATGCATAAGTCTATAGGACAAGATGTGATTAATAATATGGGGCTCAGAGAGGTGGCGAGTGTCACTGCAAGTGCAATCCTTGTCATCCTTGAGAGGCCGCAGTAATCAGTCAAGATTCCCAATGAATGAAAAAGGCCAAAGTCACAAATGTGTTCTTGAAGAAAACCAAGAAGGAGGAGACTTCTTGAAGAGGCAAGACCGTGAGAGGTGAGACCTTCTGCCCTACAAGCCAATGCCTCTCACCTTTCAGTCCCTGTAAAGGCCACAGAGAACATTTCCAGGCAGGCAAAGGACAATAGGGTGATCTGAATCAGCCAGCATGGATTTTCTGAGGACAGATCATGTCTCACTTACCTGGTTTTCCTCTATGATCAGATGATCAGCTCAGGGGACAATGGGAGAAGAGATGATGTTGATTTTGAAAGATCTTGGACTCAGTCTCCAAAAGTTAGTTCCAGCTAGTTGTTCAGGCATTGACTGCATAAGTGACAGTAATTTGCAGTAAAATTTGGCTGGACCTTTGGGTTCAAAGGCCTGTTATGAGCAGCAGGAAATATGGGCTGCATCCAGGTCATGGAGCAATGGTGCCAATGGAGCAATGTCTTCATCCATGACTTAAATGATAGGACAGAACTCATTCAGCAAATTCATAGATGATACCAAATTAGAGGGAACAGTTGATAAGCGGGAGATTGAAATATTGTTTGGAAAGAAAACAGCAGGCTGGAGATACGAGCTGACAAGAACCATGAACTTCAAAAAAGGCAGAGTGCTGCATCTGGGACAGAGTCATTCCAGGCCCCAGTATGGGGTGGGTTGTCAGCTGGATAGAAAGCAACTTTGCAGGGAAGGATTGGGGTGATACCATGGGGAGCAGGTTTAATACGAGCCAACAGTGTGCCATTTCCACAAAGAGGGATGGCTGCATACTGGGATCTCTCAACAAAAGCATAGCCAGCGGGTCAGCTGCACTATCCTTTTTTCACACACTGGTGAAACTACACCTACAGTAATATCTCAAATTTGGGATGTACAAGGGGGAGTCCAGAGAAGGGCAACCAAGGCGGTCAGGGGGCTGGAGCACTCAGCATATGAGAAAAGGCTGAG